AGTATTGCCCAGCAGGGGCTGAACCCATACCCTGATCAGGTCTGTAAGACCTAGTGGTACCTGGGAAATGAACCACCCCTCGTAGGAGGTCTGAAAGTCCATGTGGTTATCACCCTAGTTATCACCCTAGATTATCACCTTAGAAAGCCAACACCCATGCCTGAAGAACAGTGGCGCCATCCCACAGCATCTGGCCCCCAGTGACAGGAACTCTTGCCTTGAGAGGAACTGAAGCCTGAACTCTTCAACAGCCCAAGAAGAGGCGCTTAGTCTGCAAGCACAGGCAAGGCAAGGTGTGGAAAAGGCCACCCAGCTTTCCCAGGAGCCTGCCTCCCAGCTCCCAGGACCACCTGGAGGCCTGAAGGAAGTCCTACAACATCCTCAGCAAGCCACAGCTGGTGCCAGCATCCACCTTCCTGGGCACAACTGTGTCTCTACCAGCACAACACCAAGGCAGTGCAGCTGGCCCACATTGGTGATATCAGCCATCTGCACATCATGGCAAAAATCATGAGGCATCCCTGCCATTTCTTGGCAGCAACTAGGATACACATAGTGATCCTGCCGTGGGGTGCCACTCAGCTGTGACAAAGGAACAAGCTACAGACACAAACAGTAATCTGGTGGCTCTCACAACCATGCAGCATGAAGAAAGCCAATCTCAAAAGGTTATGTACTCTATGAGTGCACTCATACGACACTGTTGAAATGAGAGGGCTTCAGAAATAGCAAACGGAAGGTATCTCAGGTATTGGGGGAAGGATGGGAGTGAGCAGAGTGGGCGGCGGCCCAAGGTGCTGGTGGCCTGAGCTTATACCCACAGAGGTGACAGAAGAGCACAGAGTACTCATGCTGCCAACACTAAACTCCTAGTTCTGATGTTCTTCTGAGAGGACTGACCTCAACCTACATAGACAGGACTACTGATTTTTCACCTCCAACAACCACCCCAATTTGCAGTTTCAGTAAAGTCCTCCAGATAGTTCATGAGAAGTCAACATTCCATTATTGGACAGGCTCTGAGGTAGACAAGCTTGCCTGACCTCGGCTACCACAGTGTTCTGGACAAACTTCAGGTTGGCAGACTAACTGCAATGGGCAGCAGCTTCCATATGCTATGTGCATTTTCCACTCATACATTCAACTTGTGATGGCTTTACTGGGATGCAACCCCTTATAGGTCTGGAAGCATCTATCTGTAGCCATGTAAAAACTACCAGGGTCAAGGAATGCTGCTACAGGAAACCTCTGAACTTTCTGGGAGCCTGCATTCCAGAAGAAAACTAAAAACTCCTCAGCTGAGATGGCCAATGCAGATGCTGCTATAGGTTCACACCAAGGAAGCTCAAGGGGGAAGCCAGATTTCTCACTGCAGGAGTGGCGGGGGGGGCGGCCAGGAAAGTGAGGGGCTATAGCAGCCCATCAGGGGCTGAACCCAAACAAGGACTCCTATGGACTCCACTGAGTGGGATGCAGACATCCCACAGAGGCACCGATGCTCGTGTACACAAGCTAGTGTGCACACACATCACCCAGCTCTTCTGGGCCAAGAGGGCTGGGTCCAACAGCACCAGACCCATCACTCTGTACAAAAGAACCAAACAGTCCTAGTGAAATAGCTGACTGCAGAACTGGGGCAGGAAAGACATAGGTAACCTGGAGCATCTTTTAGGGCCACAACTAAGACAGTGCTCCGAACAAACATACCTCTCACACACATGAAACCATAATGACAGGGACACATGAAAAAGACCCAGGATTGCACTGAAAGAGCACCAAAGTCACAACCACAGAATAAAATAGTGCTGGGTTAAAGTTTAAAACCTAAGATAAATATGCACCAGCCCATCTAATATAAATAAATGAGGAGAAGAGACAAGCCACCCATATTAAAGACCCCATATAATTTATGTAGAGACTCTGCCCCCAGGGAAAACCACTATCTCCCCACCCAGTAGGTGTGGGTAGCTTCAGAATGGCACACTTTACGCCAAATGTGGTGGTACAGGCATATAATCCCAGCACTCAGAAGGCTGGGGCAAGAGGACTGCTGTGATTTCAAGGCCAGCCTGAGCTACACAGCAAGACCCTGTCTCAAAAAACAAACTAAAATAAAACAAAATTACAGTAATTTCATAATAAATCTTGGAATCAGTTTAAAAAAAGAAAAAGAGCACACATGAAAAATTGGGAAACAGGGACTTTTACAGTGGAGAACCCTGGCAAACAAGAACATAGCCAGGTGCTCAAGGTCAGCAGTGCCCATGGTAGGTCAAGCTGACTGTGTGGCCCTTTCACAGGATGCAGTGGGGGCATAGTTCTCTTCTGCAGTCCTCCTCCCCAGCCCACAACCCCAAGTAATCATGAGGAAAGTATCAGGTAAATCTAAAAAGGAGGAAATTCCTCAGAAGTGCCAAGGTCACCAGAAACAAACTGTGAGAGACTCTCACAGCCAAGAGGAGCCTGAGGAGATGGGGTTACTAAATGTCACATGGTACGAAAGCTAGATCCTAGCAGAGAAAAAGGTATTTCATAAAAACTAAGGGACTCTGAAGAAAGTACTGATTTTTGTTAATAATGAGTCAACACTGTTTTATTAATTTTTCAAATGTACCATGCAAATATGTATTAACAACAGGATATTTATAAGTTACTCAGTCCAGGTACTCCATTATGTTAGCTGGGAGCACCAGAATACCTTGCCTGAAGCTGCCCCTTCTCCCAAGAGAGCTACAAACCCACTGCCAAACCCAGAGCCACCCACTACTTCCTGGCAGCCTCCTATAAAACTACTCACTCCACTCTTTCCTGGCTGGCACACGGGCAGCCACGTCTCTGGAGCATGAGTAGTGCAAAACCTCCTGCCACAGTGGGTATGGATCTGGCTATGGTGTGCTCTGCAGGATGGCCTGACAGCACAGCTCAAATAGGAACCAATAAGCTGATGTAATGAACCATCATGGCCACGGTCCCAGGGACCAGAACCAGCCTGCTGAGCAGGGAAAAAGAGACCCAGAGAGACTAACAGCTGGCTGTGAGCTGATAGGGCAAGGTCAGCCTCTAGCCTGTAGGACCACAGCACAGCCTCCATGTGAGGATTACCTGGTTCAGCTGCCCACCACCCAGCCGCACATCCTTATCTCCATCTGACTCTCGGGGCCTGGCTCCAGCATGACCTTGGGTGTCCCACATTGTGCATCCCTGCTGTACCACCACAGGGAGCCATGTGGACTGACACCATGGCGGCTAGGCCAGGTGCCTTCTCAGCCTTCTTCTGTGTGTCTGCATGCTGACACCAGTAGCTCAGAGAAAGCTTCCCTCCCTCCCAGTCATGGTTCTGCACAGAAGAGCACCAATTCTCCACGTAGGCTCTCACAGACAGCAAACCCTTCAAGTCTTTGCTTAAACCTGACCTCAGACAACTCCTCCCATGTCATCATGGAACTGCTGTCTCTTCTCTGTCACGGCTGGCGGGCACGTGCAGTTGAGTGCTGCTGCCACCTCTTCCCCACTGGACTGCCGATCCTGTAAGAACCGTGTGCATAAACCCATTCAAGGAGCCTTGTGCTGACACTGGCAGTCACAAGAATGACGCCTGGGAAAGAAGGGAGGATGGGGGAGGCCCAGAGTCTCACCCCATGAGTCCAGCAAAAGAAGCCACACCCAAGGGCAAGCACCTTCTCTGCCAAAGTGCAGTCCTGGGCTGAGCTATTCATGAAGACTTTGGAAATCTCCCCTCTCTGGCACTGAAGAAGGCATTGGTTCCATCCACACCTTAGGAAGCTCAGTGTGACACCAAACAGACAGAAAGTCTCCTGTAACAGACAGCAAGATGCTGCCAAGAATGTGCAGGAGAAGTCATGAAACAGCAGCATGCAGGAGGTGAAACACAACTCATTCCCTAAAAACTTGCTTACCAGGAGATCCCAGTAGCAAAACAGTCCCTGGTTCGCCCTAGACATGACCAAGAGCAGGCAGACATTCATGGATGCAGCTCCTGTTACTTCCCAGCCACACTACCTTCCTGGGAGAGGGCAGACAACACAGCCTCGTCTGCTCACTCAACATTAGGGTAGACACAGACAGGGAGGCCCTGCCAGCACGCTGGACATCCCACCCTTGCCTGGAGAGCACTTGGGGACAGACTTGGCTCTTGTCTTCTGAAATTTCAGTACCCATGCAACTTTTTTTTCCCCCCAGTACTGGGGGCTGAATCTAGGGCCTTCACACTGAACTATATCCCCAGCCCTTTGGAGGGTGGGGACAAAGTCTTACTAAGTCATTAAGTTGCCCGGACTGGGCTAGAACTTGTGATCCTCCTGCCTCAGCCTTCCATAGTGGTAGGATTACAGCTATGTGCCACCACACCTAGCTCATGATGACATTTTAAGTAACACCAAAAACCACTCATGCCTGCAACCTCAGCTTAATGTGCTGACATCAGAACCCTTTTGGGCCAGAACAATTAGAAAAAAACTAGCCATCAGAATGGTTCCCGTGACATCTACAAACAAGCAACCACCCTCTTCCATACCCTAGGCCAGAGCCACTCCCAGGTTCCTCTGCACTCTCTGGTAGTAAAGGACAGGACAGCTGCCCACCCACCAGGGTTCAAGAGTGTTGACCTTACTACTACATGTGCATCCTGCAGAGGACAGTGGGCTGGGACACCGGATGTTGGAAAAGTATCAAGAAAAGTGGAGCCCATTGAGAGCACTGGATTGGATGGACTTTGTGTGGCATTCCAAGGAAAAGAGAGGACAGCCTAACCAAAATGCCAACCACATCCTCCTGAGTGGAGAGGAGAGCTTATGCCACCTCTGATCATGGCTCCCAGGCAGTTATACACAACTCTGCCCAAGATGTGAACATGTAGACCACCATCAGCAGGTAACAACACTTGGCTGTGCAGATGTTGGGACAGAGGCGAGATGTCACAGAGGAAAGGGCAGGTGTGGACAAGGCAGGGACAGCTCGGCTGCCCCTCCAAGAGCCCATACCTTGGTTAGCAGCAGGACACGCTTCTGCAGCCTCCGGGCCAGTGCCTCGTTGTTCTCGCGCTTCTTCCTCTCCTCCAGGAGCTGGCCACTGACCTGTCGCATCTCCTCCTGTAGCTGTTGCTGGGCCTTCTCCAGCCCCCGGGCACTGCTCAGGGAAAGCAAGATGGCAGAACAGTGAGGCCTGGCACACTGTCCCCAGGGCCCAGGACATCCTAAAATAGAGCTGCACGTGTGCCCACCTCCCCGCCGTTTCCTCACTCCTGAATAGCTACTTAGCGCCTTTCAGGAGTTTCTGGATTTCAAATAGATACCCAGGGTGATCCCAGCACACAGCGGGAGGTGGAGGGAAGCTCAACTCCACACACAATGGGAAAAATTGTCAACCACACAGTGCTACGGGACGGGGCTTCTGAATGAGCTAAATTGCCAGCGCAAGCACTTCCCGTGTGAATCACAGTCAGCACAGATGTGCAGCGTGGGGGGCTGTGCTGCAGTGGCTGGCTGGGCAGAAGACGCTCTGCAAAGCGAAAACCCAGCCATGCACTGGCCCTGGAGCTGTGGCACAGGACAGACAACAGCGGTGTGGCTGGGCTGGGCACCCTCCCACCTGCCTCATGGCCAGCCATCATTTCTGTCCACCTCTTTTTCTGGTGTATCTTCTCCCTCTGTGCTCCCATAGCCTCTGCCTCACAGTCTTACCTAAAACACCAGGACGGCCTCCTAACAACCCTCACAGGTCCATCCTCCAGCATCAAATCTCGTGAGACAGCAGAGGTGGCTGGATCCTCCCTATCAGAAGGTGCTGACTGCTCAGGGGCGACCCTCAGAATGTGGCCACCACCCTGCATCTCTCAGAGCCACCACTCCTCTCAGCCCAGTGCCCTGCACAGGTTCTGCGCCTACTGGTCCTCCAGAGGCTGCCTAAGGCCAGTGCCCGGCACTGCTGACCGCAAGATTCCATCAATGCCCAGATGGCTTCCCACGCTCCACCCCTCTCACACGCGCATGCCCAGGGAGGGATATGGAGGGAATGCGGGCAGGACCAACCCATCAGGACGGTGCACCACAGGCAGTGCCAAGAAATGGTGGTGGGACACAGCATTTGTGCTACTCACATGGCAGAAACCTCTCTTGAAAGGAAATCCTAAATAAACCTCAAAACTAAAGCAGGCATTAAGATTCCACTGTAAGGTGACATTTATAACATTGATGCGAGATGACAATGAGAACAGGGAGGCTGCTTTGAAAATACAGAAATGTAGGATGGGGGCTGTGAAAGGCATCTACGTCTTAGATCATCCTTGGCATCCAATTATTTCTATTTGCTTTGATTACAGGATCTCAACAAAACCTTGAGGACAACAGATAATCTTTTCCTCAGAGGGAGTCTAAGATTTCCCTAAATCTGAATTTAGTAAAACTCTTTAAACAGCTTAAGTATAATTTAAAGTGAATGCAACTCAAACACAGAACTTCACTGTATCGTTTCTAATGTTTTTTATTATTTTATATTCTCTTTAATTGTTTGATCAATCTTGCATTCTTAACATCTGGTAATCTGAGCAATTTCATTGAAGATGACAATATGTAATATAACAACCATTGTGAATTCCTATCATCTTGTTTTGAAATTGTGTATTGTTTTTATTGTTCTTGTGCTGTTTTGTCTTTATTGTTATTTTGTTATTTTTTTTCTCTTAAAAAAATAAAAAATAAGAAAAACACAGAACTTCAGAAAGAACCTAGTGTTGACCCTGTTCTACCAACTGCGGGGAGTCTAGATGACCCTGGATGACCCTGGATGACCCTGGAGAGCCAGGCAGAACCACAGATGCTGGGACCCACGCACCAGCGTCAAGGACACCACATCTCACCCAGCGGAGGGTCTTGGAAAGCAAATGCAGAATCAGCCAACTACCACCCACACCTCTGGGTGCTCCGTAACCAAAACCATAAAATACAACAAGTACAAATATTCCTTGCAAACAGACATATTAAGAGGCTATTTTGAGTTCCAGTTCAATTTAAAACTATTCATAGACCAATTTAATAATCAAGAACTGTGAAATCGACTCTTGAATCATTGAATTCAGGTGGGTAAGTTCACAAGTGCTTTAAATCACTGCTCCAAAGTGGGTAATTTAATTAGGAGAATGGCAGCATTCACACTGCTATTGTAAGAGTCATGCATACAAAGGAGCAAGAACACAGCAATGCTACCCTGCAGGTGACTGGGCACAGCTCACCAGGCAGAGCTGAGGGAAAGGGGCTTCTCTGACAAGCTGTCCTTAGCACAAGGGGGTCAGGGAGCCCTGTATCCCGGAGGCACAACATCCTTAGATCTGTCTGGGGTCGTCTCCCATGCAGGGCCCTCCCACCAGAGCAGGTGCAAATATATAGTCACACTATAACCACCAACCTTCTGGGTTTTGAGGACTTGAGTTCAGGGTAACAGAACGAGGAAGCAAGATTGGGCCAGGAACCCTGGCTTTTGGTCTAAGCTGGCAACCAACCCACACACTGCCCTTGGGGTTCAGGCACTGCAGGGAGTAGAGGGTACAGGCACCAGGAGTTCTAACTTCAGCTCTTCACCCAGATCCAAGATGCTGAAAGAACACAAGTTGTGATGGTCAAGCGGCACTGTCAACTTGACTGGATTAAGAGACTCCTGGAGAGGTGGCAAGATGGGAGGGGGGTGCTCATCAGTGAATGAATCTACTCGATTCACAGGTGAATGCCCTCAGGAGATCTGCCCAGGCAGAGGAGGTAGGTCATGGGGTGTGTGTGCCTTCAGACAACATCTCTCTTGCTGGCACTGTTCCCACTGTGAAGTGAGCAGCTTTGATCCTCCATGCTGCTTTTGCCATGGACTCAGCAACTGTGGGTTCATCCTCTGAAACCATGAGCAAAAATAAACCTCTTTTCCTTTAAGTTGTGTACATCAGGCGTTTGGTCCTAGCAAGGAAACCCTGACTAATACACCCTGTAAGCAGAGACACAAGCTGGGAGCTCTTTGGCACCCAAGGGAGAAGACAGAGCCTTCAGGAGCAAAGTGCTGGGTTCAGACAGAAAAGTTCTCTTGCCAGGTTATGAAGAAAACCTTTACTCACTCAAGAGCAAAACACTGTCCACGTCATCTGGAGAGGACGGGAACAAAGAAAGCCAGAGGAGCACAACCCAACCAGAGGCCCAGAGAGGAGGCAGGACAGCACCGAGGGCAGGGCAGCCAACTGCAAACCTCGACCCTGTCCACAGGGGCAGAGATAAGCCTAAGAGCTGCCACACTGGGCACAGCCAAGGCCATAGTTGGGCATAAGACATCAAACAGGTAGCACCTGCAGGAGGCAATTACAATCCTTGGGTGGTGGGGACAAAGCAGAGAGGAGGGGATACGAAGATAATGGAACACACAGGACAGCCTGGGACCAGACAGGCTGCCTGGGCAGGGTGGGAGGACCCGCTCAGGCGGTGTATCTGAGCACAGAGGGCAAGAAGCAGGCAGAAGGCCCACAGGCAGGACAAGCACTGGGCAGGGCCCTGCCTCCCCCTCGAGCACCCACACTGCCTGATGGAGACACCGGGTCAGGTGACAGACATAGGCTGTAGGTCCCACACTGCAAAGCTAGCAGTGATGGACAACCGACAATAAGCAAACACAAGAGCGTCCGCACGAGGCGCAGTGGAGGGAATGGAATGCTCAGAGGCACAGAATGAGGACAGGACCGTGTGGGGGCTGTTAGAAGGGTGAGTGAGAGGCAGGCTTTCCATGGGGAGCACAGTCACAGCATAAGGAAGGGGAAGCCAGCCTGAGAGGCTCAAAGCCAGACAGAGACAAGGAGCAAAGGCAGAGGGGGATGAGGAAGATGAAGGGCAGATGAGGAAGAGGCTACACAAATGAGTGAAGAGAGGCCCAGAGAGGTTTGCTGCACTGTAGAGGTGGGTAGACAACAGGCTGACAGTAGATGGGGTAAGGGAACTTGTTCACAAGATGAGGAATAGCTCTGGGCGTGGTAGCACATGCCTGAAATACCAGCACTTAGGAGGCTGAGGCAGAAAAATCACTAAGAGGTCAAGGCCAGCCTGGGCTACACAGTAAGTTTAAGGCCAGCCAAACTACAAGGTGAGACCCTGTCTCAAAAACAAAAATAAGGGCTGGGGATTTAGCTCAGCGGCAAAAGCGCCTGCCTGGCAAGTGCAAGGTCGTGAGTTCGGTTCCCGGTACCGGAGAAAAACCAAAAAAAAAAAAAAAAAAAAAAAAAATACAGGATGGGAACAGCACAAAAGTGCAGCAGCATGCTCCAGGTGCTGGTCCAGCAAAGGGAATGGAGTTCTGCAGGCAAAGAAGGGTCAGTCCAGTGTGAAGCCCCTGAGCAGCAGGAAGGACTGGAACTCACTGTCCAAAGAGGCCACTTCCCCCAACATCCGACCTGTGGTGTCCCCCAGCAAGCTTCCCAAATCACTGCCGCCAAGCGTGATCCACACCCCAGGATGCAGATGGTGACATGCACAACCTCGGGTTGGAAGGGGACCTCAGCCCCTCTACCCCACAGTCCCCAGGAACATCTGGGTGGCTCTGTCCCAGAGGTCCCAGACTGCTGATTCTTTCTGGAGGAGCCTCCCTCCATTCACTCTCAACCTTTCTTCTGAGGGGAGGAAGAGAAAGCTCATAAAAAATTAAACCTCTAGCTCCACGCCAAGCTGAACTCTGAGGTCAGCAGCATTTCCGTGAACCCGTGGGAGTTCAAAATGAAGCTCTTGGTGTTTCAAGAAGAAGCTGGGCATGTTTATCGATCGATGCCTTTTGAGGCAGATCTACTGCGGGAAACAAGTCTGCGCTTCTGAGAACCTGTCTTTGTGTGTGACAGGCCACCGCGGTCCACTTTAATGTAGTCTTCATCAGAAACCTCAGCCTAAGAATATCTGCTTCCAAGGAACAAGGAAAGGACATGAGACATTCCAAAGCAGCAGGAGACATTTTAACGATCTTCTCCAAGTCACTGCTGGTTCCAGCTCCTCCCAACCCCAGCATCTCAGGAGCTGTGTCTACCTTATCCCAATTCAGCCCAGCCCCCAGCACGAACACAGTAAGGAGCACACCTGTGCAAGCAAATAGGCAAAGACTCCCAGGCAAAGAGCCCTGACTGG